CACCATGGCAACCCCATAAAGACCAATCCCAGATGCAATTAGAAGCGCTTTGGGTCTGTGCTTTAATGGCAGAGGTTGAAAAATAACGAGAGCAAGGAGCAACATAAAACAAAGACATAAAGGAAAGCAAAAAGGAGGCCTAACTTGTATATTTAATAACCCTTTTGAGACAGGATGTCAGGTAATGACAAGATTGCGGGGATGAGTTGAACTGGTCATGGATTAGACACGAGGGCGGCAGAAATCTAATGGGAAATGGTGGAGCAATGCAAACAGTCCACGTAAGCAATACTCAGCCTCCCACTACAGTGTAGCACAACATAGAACAGCAACGAGGATCAATATTAAAAAGCGGGCCATTTGATTTGGAACAGTGCCGAGGGATGAAGGCTAGGCCAAGGAGCAATTAGAATTGCAATTAGAGCACAGCGGAGAGCCGCCTCTTGTATATGGGTTGATGTAGCAGTAGGATTCGGCCTTTGCGGCCATTTCAGAGAAAAGGATGGATCCAGGGGGAGGGCATCCAGGCTGTGCTGGGGTGATTGGTGCATGCTGTAGCTACTTTTTACTCCACTCTCTGACAGTTTAGTTGCTAGCCTCAATAGCCTCCAAAACAAAGGGCAAGAAGAGTTTCCTTAGCAAGCCATTCTAGTGGTATCATAAGTCTGAGCCTTACCATGCATTGTGCATTAATCATCCACAGTTAGAATAGAGACTCCATAACTTTCTGCTTGAGCTTGAATGTTGAATATTGACATATTCATATTCATTGGTACTGCATTATCATCTCCATTCATGCCTGCTCTCTCGCAAGCTGTTCAGAGGTGCTGCAAATCCAGGAGCACTTTCTTAGATTTGAGCTTATCCCAAAGCTTCTGTGTAACTTAATCCAGAGAGATTCTTATCTCATCAAATCCTGATCTGATTCCAGCTCTCTTTCAGCTCTCTCTCCCTGTCTTTTCTCCCCTTCCTTCTTTTCATCTCATGTACAAGCATTGCATGCAATTTAATGTCTGATTTATTGCATTACTTTGAGTGATGCTCATAAGCGATGATCATTAAAGATGATGACTCATCTTCTCTCAGTGATTAAAAATCGCAGTAATGCTATTTATTGTGTCTACTTTGAAAAAAATGTAATAACTGTTGTTACAAATGTGGTATAATCCAGATGCTTTTACTGCTATTTTCTTTGGAGTTTTTCCTGAATAGCTGGTGGTATTGAATGTTAACGGTGCAACACCCCCAAGCATTGGTTGACCCTCTAGCAGGGTCTCAGACATAGCAACTAATTACATTCTAGTCGTGGCATCGGGAACACATCATTAGCTTTGAAAAAACATCAGATGGACCCGCAAGAGAAGCCTGTAGGTGAAGACATCAGAAGATTCGATACAGCTCGCTGGCTATGTTCTGTCTCCTGCTTTGAAACCTAAAGTAACCAGTGACTGAGAAATTGCCTTCTTTTATGAAAATGAGGCTGTGTGTTTGATTTGGACTGTGTTGCAATAACTGCACTCTGAGAAAAATAAATCAATGGCTTTCACTTGGAGCATGTTATGTATACATACATTTGAGATTAAATGTTTTTTGAATCAGAAGGGCACACAGGGCTTAGTGGTTAGCAGATTTGCCTTGCACCTCTGGGGTTGGGGTTTTGATTCCCACCTCCACCCTATGTGTGCAAAGCTTTCATGTTCTCATCTTAGGAGCTTGTCCAGTTTCCTCCCCCAGTCTAAAGACATGAGTTGGAGGCTGATGGCATCTCTAAATTGTCTATAGTGTGTGTGTGTGTGTGTTTGTGTGTGTGTGTGTGTGTGTGTGTGTGTGTGTGTGCACGTGTACTTGTGCCTATGATGGATTGGCACCCCTCCAAGGTGTCCCGTGCCCTACGCCCCACTCCCCACGACCCTGTGTACAATAAACGGTACAGAAAATGGATGGATGGATGGATGGATGGATGAATCATCTCTTAGGTCTAGGAAAGTTAACTTATAAGCAATATTTTCTATTTCAACTTCATCTCATAAGAATAGTTTGAGTTTGTCATTATATTTCATTGAATTTCATCCAAAGTGTTAAGAAATAAGCTTTGAAATAGTATTTATATTTTGGATATGACTCAGTTTTTTAATTAATCCAAAAGCTTTTAATTTTAGCATCTATACAAGCTTGTTATTTTGACTTATGAATAAATATTATGAATGATCTATCTAATTTTTGTATCTATAGGTTTGTTAGTTGGGCCTAAAAACATTATTTTAATGTTATACATTAAAGAAATCATCCATCAAGAATGTAAGTTACAAATACTGTCAGATTAAGCCGAATGTGGACAATTGGAACAAATTTAGCATTATTGGCTCAATATTGAGTTTAAGTAAAGTACATTCCTTTTAATTTTTGCTCTAGCCTCATATCTAAGCTGTACGGAAGCCACCCCCTGTTGCCAGGAGCTCTGTTTGCTGCGTGATGTATCCCGAGCTCCTGTTAAGCAAACTGTTGTCATTATGGCAATATTAGAATGACACTAATGATATGTTTGTGGCATTCTAGCTCCTTAGAGCTAGAATGCCACAATGTGAGAGACCACACGGATAGGAATATCTGGCTGTTTTGACAAAAACTTCAGCTTTTATTGAACAAAAATAGAAAAAAAAACCCACCTAAAAATGACAGAATGTTTCCTGTTGGTTACTAAGGTTAGGGTTAGTTTTAGGTGTAGCACAGCATTAAATAACTGCATTAATAATTATGTTGATAGAAGGTCATCACAATGATAGTAAAATAAATGTGTGTGTCTCACGATTCCCCCCGTGCAGCAGCGCACCTTGGGTGCTGGCGTGCATGCTGTTTCCGGGGTGACGTCATGTGTGACGTATGCGGAAGTGCCCGCAGCTGGTAGCGATTGCGGGCTAATGACTGTGTGGATATATACAGTGAGCCGTGCTTCACGCGGCGTGGTTGAATGCGTTGAATACATGTATGTATCTCTGTACGTATGCCATGTAGTTCTCGAGTGCGACTTTAGCGAGTCTTGGTTTCATGTCCTGTTTATGCCATAGCCATAGTCATAGCCTTAGCCTTAGCCTTAACTTTAGCATTAGCGTTAGCCATAGTCCTAGTTTAGTTTAGCTTAGCTTAGTTGTAGAGAGAGTCAAGTTTCTTGTTTGCGTTTTTGTTTGCTTTCATCACTTTGTAAATAAAACTCACCGTTTGAACTGCTATTGCATCCTGCCTACTTGTCTGCCGTCACGCCACGTGACAGTGTGTTTGCGTGTTGTGCTGTAGAAACCAGATCCAATTTAGCTCTCTAAATTGACAAGATAAACTTCCTTTTTTTCAATGTTTATTTTTTAGCAATCTTTTTTTATTATTCTGCTGAACAATTATATTTTTTGATGCACTATTAAAAATGTATGAGTTTGCTTTCTGCGGAAAATGTAGCATTTTTTCATGGTGCTTCTCACCTTTAGCAATAAAACGTATCTCAAAACCATTGCTTTTAATGTTTTTTTTAATACAGGAGTGTGACTGGAGGCATTGTTCTGTACTCTTTCAACTGTCATACTGAATCACAAGTTTCATTTTCATTGCTGAACTTTAGGGATTGTGTATCTGTCACCGGTGCTCCATATTTCAGCTGAAAATCACTCACAAGAATACATCACCTTAAGGCATGGCATTACTGTCAACTTTGAATAATGTTTAGATGTAATAACAGTGATCTGGTCTTCACCACAAAGTTTCTACAAATTCACTCACTGATATCACAAAATCTTTGAGAATGCATAAGAACTAGAATTAATTTTGATTGTATTTCTCCAATACTACATAAAACTAGATTTAGAAAGGCATTCTCTTATGCCTGTCTCATCATTATTCGTAAAATTGAATAGTTATACAGTAGCTTTTAGTTCACACTATTTAGTGCTTAATTTAAACATTTATGACCTGCCTCGAAAACTGGTCCTAGACATCCATTTTGAAAACAGCTTTTTAGTTCTTTTTGGATCACAGGGTAATATTTGTCTGTGGTGAAAACATATTTGCTACAGATGTGCCAGATATAGACTAGGTTTTAAATAAATTAATTAATATGATTATATATTATTTAAAATTCCTTGAGGATGTGATTCTCTTTCGAAATTGTAACATGATAACACAAGTACACAAGAATTATTCAGAGTACACTCTCAGTACTCTCCGAGCATACTGTACATCTTGTACTTTTAAGCCTACTTCACATTGCACCGACAGATGCTGAGCAGCGCTGACAACTTTTAAAAGTTGTCCGTTGGATTTAGAATGTTGGGAAACACTACTGTCATGTTCAAACTGCCCCAACAGACACCAACAAACTTTTTTTAGGCTCAAATACACGGACAAATCAAAAATGGAAGATACAATGGGGAAAAATGCTCACTGAATTTACTTAATTCAAATGCGTACATTTGAGTCAATTTGTAGTTTGTCTGTGAATGATTGGTGTCCCTCTTTCGTTTCACATCTTTTTAGGCAAAGAATAACAAGTAAAGACTCTTGTAAAAGTAACATTTTGATTGAGGTAAAAGGATCATCCATTTGTAAACCAGTCAACAATAATTCAGCGTGCACCTAGCACACAGGCTTTCATTGCTATGTAGTTTTCAGGGACACGTGCCTCATCGTCATGACAATGGTTCGTGCCCAGGTCAGATTATGCAAGAGTTTGTTGGAAAATCATACCACTGCTCAGACATTCCACCACCTGACAAACACTGATTGAACATGTTCATTTGATGAAAACAAACGCTGACCAACAGCAAAATACTCCGACAGGGTTAACACACTGACAAACGTGTCTGTTGGCACTGGTTGGCATCTGTCAGTGCAGTGCAAACTATGCTTTAGTAATGTCTTTTAGCTAGAAAGGTGCCAATGATGTATTTTAACATACTAATCTAAAAGGTCATTTAAATTTCCTTAAATAATTTAAGGTAAAAGATGGAAGTCACTGGGGCAGTGGTGGCTTAGTGGTTAAGGCTCTGGGTTACTGATCAGGAGGTCAGGGTTCACACCTCAGCACTGCCAAGCTGCCACTGTTGGGCCCGACCCTGTGCTCTGACCCCAACCTCCTAACATGCTGGGATATTCGCACTGTGCTGTAATGTATATGTGACCAGTAAAGTATCACTATCATTATAATTAAGATACTTATTTAAGGGGGATTTTGGATTCCATGGTTGAAATGCCATGAAAGTGTCCTCTAGGATTTTCTATGGTAGATAAAATGCAATCAATTGCCCCATTGGTTGTCTTCACAGTGAAGAAAACCTGATGTTGTGACCTAACGAGTGCCCTTCAAATGAATATAAAAAGTGATGAAATGCCTGATAGGGTGCCACTATGTGCAAGAAAATATGATCCTATAGGTCCTCTATAGGGTGCCCTTCCAGTAGAGAATATGTTTCCCTATGTGCAATGAAACATGTTGAAGTGCCCTAATGGGTGTCCTTGAAGTCGAGAAAATGAGATACTGTGCATTATAGGCTCCCATACATTCAAGAATATGGGAATGTGTACCCTCTGTGAGCTCCTATATACAAGAAAATGAGCTCCATATGGTGCCCCTCAAAAAATTAATCAGAAAAAAAGTTATTTATGCAGACTTAGTGGTTTGCAGGCTTGCCTCACACTTCTGGGGTTGGGGGTTTGAGTCTTACCTATGCCCTACGTGCGCAGAGCTTGCAGCTCTTTGTGCCCTGCAATCGGTTGGCACCCCACCCAGGGTGTCCCCTGCCTTGCACCCGATTTCCCTAGGATAGGCTCCAGGCTCCCTTGCGACCCTGTGTAGAATAAGCAGTATGGAAAATGGATGGATAGCTCAGCAGGCCTGCTGAGGGTATCATTTGTTTTGTCAGAGCAAAATGGGGAGGGAATTGAACTAAACAGAATCAGGCTTGATGCTGGTAGCGCTGTATTGCTAATACCCAGGCAGAGGCATGTATGATCTGTTTGTGTGTGTAGAAAGCAGTGCGCTCTTTGATATCCATGTCATTACAACGCAGCCTGTGGTGAGCTGTGTGTGAGAGGAACCAGCGAGTGGCAAGTCCGCAATTAACCTGCACAGAGCAGGAAGCTTTTCTTTCAACTTCACCTGTGAATCCATCTCCTCCCACAGTCGTGACCTATGAGCTCTGGCACCCACTGACTACACCAACACTTATTCGTGTGATTACGCACACTGAACTCACAGGTTGCATCTGACTAAAGCCTGTGCTCCACAAGGAGGTTGGATGAGATTGTAAATGATTTACAATGCAGATCTGACATAGCCATAACTCGGGCTCAGCTCCATTATAAAAGCAGAGAAGATGGCATGTAAAATATTGATGTGGCCTATTTTACCAGGCAGAGAGAAAGTAAAAGAGAGGGAAGGATCAAGACAGAAGGAAGTGAAGGAAAAGGAGTGTTTGCGCGTGTATCCTATAAGAAATTATGCATATGTCAATAGTGAAATGTTGGTAGCATTGACGTGCATATGTGTACTTTTGTTTTTGCTTCAAATTCTTCATTCCTATCTGCATTGTTTTCTGTCAGCTTGTTGTCTTAAGACTTCTGACAAATGAGTGCTGTTTGAGTGATGTATATGTATGCTACTGTTCATTTTGCATTTATGCTTGCCGAGCCTAGCTACAGGCTCAGAGCTTTTGCTGTCCAATTAAAGTGGAGGCATCACCGAGTTAGCTGGGGGAAGGAGAACAAGTGAGAGCAGCATGGCTTCTGTGTTACCTTAGCTTTATTACTGTAAAGTCCTCCCTGCCTCAAGAGGCCCACTCACCCAAATCACCTCCACACACACACACATGCACACACACACACACACATTCACCTTGCTTTCATTAGCTCACTGTCCACACTGTAAAATTGCAGCAAATAGCTTTTTTTCCCCAGGAATCCTTCTCTAGGGCAAGGGCTCTTAAAGCGTTTATAGCCAGGGACCCCTTTAACAGTAAATGGACCTCCCCAATACAGATTTATTAAACATTAACATTACTTAAATGTGTAAAATGATATTTTGCCTATTTATTAGAGCTGAAGACCTTTTTATTGTTGAAAATTACATGGACTGAACACATGTGCTCTGTGTAGTAAATAAAAGTATAAAAGTGGAGTTGTTCAGTTTGTGAAAAAAGACATTTGCCTCACACCTCCAGGTTTGAGGGTTTGAATTCCACCTCCGCCCTGTATGAAAGGAGCTTGCATGTTCTCCCGTGCTTCAGAGGATTCCTCCAGGTACTCCGGTTTCCTCCTCCAGTCCACAGACATGCGCTGGAGGCTAATTGGCATTTCCAAATTATGTGAATGTGTGCACAATTTGCCCTGCAATGGATTGGCATCCACATGCAAGGATCCAGGCTCCTCACAACCCTCTGTAAGATAAGCAGTATTGAAAATGGATGGATGGATTTATAATAGATATAATAGCTTTCATAATGTATTGTGATTTTCACCACTGTTCCAGTGTGGTTCTGAGCCACATGTGTAGCAATTCACTATGGACTATGAAACATTTCATTATTATTGAAGGCATCTTTGCTCTACAGCATTTCTTTACATGTGCCTAAGATTTTGCACACTACTGTACTTTTCAAGACTGGCAGTCAGCAAAGTACATAATTCTGTTTTCCAATTCTGTTTTCCAGTTTCTTATTTGTTTGACCAATCCTGTTATTATTATTATTATTATCATTATTATTATTATTATTATTATTATTATTATTATTATTATTATTATTATTATTATTACCCTAGCTTTCATTGATTTATGGATTAAGGTTTTTCCCCCTAATGATCAATTCCTTAATTCTAGTGTTATTGATTACTCATTTATTTATTATTTAGCACTCCTTGTTCTCCAACAGCCCAATATTATTTGCTCTAGTTTTTCAGGCTTGACACCCATGATAGATTCATGAATTGTGAATTAAATGACCAGAGGTAGAATTAAAAATGTAATTATATACTTTAATAAATTATATCAGGAGGCAGTTTCTTTGCAAAAGAGCCACACTAATTCACACAAAATGTAACAAGGGTAAGACTATCAATAAGGCTTAGAAGAATGATAATAAAAACTAATAATAATGAAAGCCTGAAATAATAGGGATGGTCTGATTTGAATGTAGATATCTAAAGGCCCTTTCACTTCAATAATTCAGCTATCAGATCAGTTCTATTTAGAAGGGCCAAATCTAAGTTTATAGAGGTTTATCTGCTATGAATGTTTCATACCGCCTCTAGTGATTTATTCTGAAAGGCTTTTTCATGCATTTCATATGCAGGATGCTTGTCCACCCCTCAATGCCACTCCGTGTCACTGCTTTCACTGAGGCATAAGCATGTTCTAAGCCATGTTTCTGCATCCCCTGAAGCCATCACTTCATCACTGACAGTTGTCAATTCACAATTCCCCTTGAGATTGGTTTAAAAATTTGTAATGTTTGTCACTCACTCTGAACAGTATTAATAGTGACTTCCCACATTACCTGATGTATCAATGCGGCTGCAAAACTCCAGAGCTCTGCTGAGGGTTTTTAGTGCCTGGGGTTTGTGCCAAACTTGAATAATGACATTAAAGCATCTGAACATGCATGCTGTGGCATCATGCTGCATTTGATGAGTAGTTGTGTGGTGTTGATGGTGTATACCCAGGCATAAAATTGAGGCAGACCTAATACTGCCTAAATTTAGTTTCCTAAAACAGGCACATGGTCAGATAATGTGCATCAACACAATTGATGCGATCATTATTTCACATATCTCTGGGCATCCATGACTAATTGCTCTAATCTCATTAGCACATAAAAAAGTAGCCCAGGGTAATGTGTCCAGCAAAGGCAATTACCAGCATTCCTCTACAGGGGTAAGAATGGAGAAAGGCCATGTGGGAGAAGTAATAAAGTTGAGATATGAAGTGGATGCAGTGAATAAGACAGAAACCATAGAATGTGAACTAACAGAAGCAGGTCTGTCTCAGAGGGCCATGGGAATCATCATATATGCTTTGTCTCTTGAGAATAAATGGCATTCCAGGTTTATAATGAATGGAAAGAGTCTGACAATTTCCCCCTATTACTTTTCCTCCTGGCACATACAGGTTTACACAAGATTGACACAAAAAATAAAAGTTCAGGTATCAGTGCAATATAGAGAGTTGCACTATCTATGTTTTTTCTTTAGTAATCCAAAATAAATGGGCTATATCTGGGTTTGATCCACATTGCAGTCTAATGTAATTATTTTGACATAAAATTTCATGCTAACTGTTTAAAAGTCTAGTGAATGACCATTTATGTGAAAATGTAAATAATTGAAAAACTTTTATTCTACCAGCATTTTTTAAAGACAATTTTTACAATGACTGAACTTAATAGTGACCTGTTTGTCCCGTATTCAAACAACCTCTTATTGTTTATTTTCACCATACAGTTGAACTACTGCCACATTGCCAGTGAAACATTGTCTTTTTGATACGTCCTGGGTCCAGGTACATTTTATTCAAGCTTTAGGAGGGAATTGATTTTTTTTGCTGCTTTAGCTATCCACAGTGCTTGACCCCTGTGTTTATGGGGGTTTTTTTTTACCATTCCAACAGCTCAGTACAATATAGCATTGTTAAAAAAAACACAATAGAAATACTATTGTCAATAAAGCACCTCTAAAAATGAGGTAATATCACATCGAAATTGGAAAAGATTGTGACTTTTTTCTGAAGCAAGCAGATATTCCCATCGGGAAAGGAATGGAGAAATGGGAGTCCCTCCAATAAATAAATACACTATGGCGGAAATAATAGATTCAGCTATCCCCCCCCCCTGAAGGCAGAATTACACTTCAGCAGCATCACAGAGACTGAGAATGGCAGGTAACAGGCCAGACCCAGGATTAGTGACAACAGAGAATCCATTCTTAGTCATTGAATGAATGAGTCATTATTTCATCATCATGAAAATTTGAAACAGTTTTGTTTTCTGTTGGTAATTTTATGATGTGGCTTGGTCTTTCAAGACCAATGAGTGATAAGCAAT